TTTATCATCTAAACTTAATCCCCTGTCACTATTGAAGCTGGAAAAGTAATATTTATTTTTTTGGTGAATATTTTTGTCCGACATACTTTTCTTATGTCTAAAAGTAGCATCAAAACAAAGATAGTTTTAACAATGACCGATATGACAGAATCTATTGAGCTTCAAGCTTTTAAAAGACAAAAGGATGGTTATAAAGGTACTTTAAAAATTTTACTTGTGTATTTTTGTTGTTTTTTCTTGAGGCGAACTCAAAGTATGGCAAAATTTACTTGATAGCGACTATGAAATGTACATGGTGTGCCTACTTGTCGCTACCGTTTACTGGCATAACTCGCTACAATTTGTAAGAAAATCTAACGTAACACTCTTACCTTGTTTATTTATGATTGTATTAGCTGTTTCGATTATTATATTACGCCTGGGTATTATTTTTGACAGAAGCCCAGGTTTTGCGTTGTGTTTTCCCCTCCCCCATTTATATTTTAAGTTAGTCACGCAATAATTGCTCCCGACACAGTGACTCGATAAATAAAAAAAAACCACTTACTTCCCGAGCCAGTTCTTTTGTCATTGTCCATTGACCTAAGTCGCCATACGGTTCTTCAAAATCCGTCGTTCTCCATCCCAAACACTCGCCTATTACAGGAAAGTGCATCAATGAAGTCAACTGCTCTCGATCGAATTGACTGCTATTGAGTTCGAAGCGTCCAAATATCCTGAAAAATTACCATTTCCTCCCATCAAAAAACTTCCCAACGCACCAGAATATCCCTTATTTTCCATGTTGAGTAAGTGACGAGACGCCATGTTGAAAACTATGACTGAAATGGTTTAACACGAGCAAAGCTGATCTTCGAATCGTCGGCCATATTTGTTTATGTTCTTGCTGGTAAATAAATTAGTTCTCAGGTCCTTTTAGGAATAAAAATATCCCAGGCGTTGAATGCAAATTCAGTCATCTTGGCGCGAAAATTTAATAAAAGCAAATCAAAATTATGACATCATGTCATCGCTCTGCCTCGAAAAATCCCAAAGATTTACTTGCAGGTCTTCTTTTCTTTTTCTTTTCATCAAATAGAAGTGCTCAAATTGTGTAAGTCATAGTACGAAACACGCTTCTTTGCAGATCGAGCCGTGATCGCCGCCATATTGAATTCTCTCGATATACTATTGTTCCGGAGTGTAATACGTTATACCGCTGATAATTGTTAGCGGGCTCGAAATGTCCTTGATTTCTGGCGATGGAGCAAAGCGTGAAGCTCTGGGAATAAAAACTTTTAGGGGCCTTTTACATCATATCAGAATGAGTTTTGTTCAAGAACGAGTTTATACCGGTTGCCACATGATACCAGAGTAAAATTGTTTTCGAAACGAGTCATTTCCGAATGAATAAAGGGGTAAGTTTCTAAAGAAACTGTGGTGCTGCGTCGGTGGGAGAATATAGCAGGTAATTTAGTGTTAACAACTGGGTTTAAAACGTAAATTAGCCACCGTAAAGGGTAAAAAAGCTGACGTTTCGAGCGTTAGCCCTTCGTCAGAGCGAGTAGAGGAATTGTGGGTTGTGTGTGGATTTATATGCAGAAAGTGGAGCTACGCCATTGGTGGGAATATGGTGACGAGAAAAACAGTAATAAATTAGTTGAATGAAAAGCGCTCGTTGATTCCGTGGGGATTAAGGGTGCCGATTTGGAATATAAATTTTTGTTCTAGTGTTTTACGGCTTTCCGAACTGCCTAGATGTAAGGAAAGGCCGCAAACTGCCATATGCTGTTTAGAATGATTAGGAAGATTAAAGTGTCTAGCGACTGGTTTGGATGCGTCCTTGTCATTTCTTTCCACATCGCGAAGGTGTTCTCGGAATCGGTCACCCAGTCGTCTTCCTGTTTCGCCGATGTATAACTTATTGCAATAAGTGCAAGTTATGCAAAGTGCTCAGACAAAGTGCCCAGACACTAGACACTAGACACCAGTATAGCTAGCTATTGACCAATTCCCAATCGAGACTTAAAAGTCTGATGGAAGGCGTAATTTTGCTCACGGTGGTTAGTAGCCTACTTACCGGAGCCATATTAGACATATAGACATATTGAGCACCATCTGTGATACACGCTTGCCAATTCCCCTATCGGCTTTTGGAATCGACTTAACCTTACCTTTACAATGGCCGGACACCTCTTTAGGCACTCCACATCTACCATTGGAACCTCGACTCCACCCAACATCTATGAGTGGAGCACATTGTAAAATCATCGATATCTGTTAGCGTCTCGAAGATGCCGGCACGCGATAAGAAGATCAACTTCATTTTCTGAATCTGAAAACTTGCAACTCCGCAGGTGACTTAAAATGTTTTTTTTACAACTGTGCAAGAGAACGACTTGAGGTATACAACTTCGGTCTTCTCGATAACTAAATCCATAAGCTCCACCAGCGAACGATTTAAATGAACTGCAAATCGCCATGTTAGCATGTAAGATGAGACACTTATGCAACAAAGCCAAATCAACAAATCAGTATGTAGCTTGGCAATCAAATTGACTTTTGTAACCGTTCTTTGACTTCCGCCGGCAAAGGAATTATCGATAGATTGGGATATTTTAGTTTTCTTAATGCAGTAATTCCTGAAAGATTTTTCCAGATATCATGCAAAGAGGAAAAAAACCTGTCTCTTGGTATTTCGGAGGTTGACTCATCTTTGAATTTATATGTGTCACGCTTGTCATGCAACCGATATAATAAGATGGAGAAGATATATGAACTGGAACTCAAATCTGGCTAGAATGTGGTAAGGCATAACGTGATCATCGAAACAGCTGATAAAATCATAAATAAACAAGATACGAGATTTATGTTAGATTTTTCTCACAAATTGTAGTGATTTATGATACATTTCATAGTCGCTAGCCAAGTAAATTTTGCCGGACTTTGAGTTCGTCTCAAGATAGAACAACACAAATACACAAGGAAATTTTACAGTAACTTTATAACCATCCTTTTGTATTTTAAAAGCTTGAAGCTCAATAGATTCTGTCATATCAGTCATTGTTAAAACTGTCTTTGTTTTAATGCTACTCTTCGACATAAGAAAAGTATGTCGGACAAAAATATTCACCAATATTCGCTTCTTTTCTTACCGGAATTTTTTATATTCACAGATAAATCAGCATTCAAAAGACTACAGTTACATAGAAATCGACAGTAAACGAAGTGAAGTTTGTAATCATGATTATAAACAACCTCGGGCTGGAAAAACAAACTTGTGATCTTTATAGATCGAAAAAAGTACATGAAATGGGCACAAATGAACTAAAAAAACTATTATGAAGTAATAAAGTTGAGGTTAGAATGAAGCTATATGTTGTCGAAAACTGTTAATTTGTTTTGTTTCTCGTTAATTTTACGCTCTGGTTACATGACCAGCAGCCGGTCAATGTTTTCAACTAATAAATGACCAGCAGTCGAAAATTTTTTCTGAAAAATTTGACAAAACGAGAGAACCTATACAATCTACTCTATTATAATTATGTCAATGAGGAACTACGGAGTGACCTCGAGGAGATTCATGAATCTCATTTGTAACCCTCAGTTTACGTTCTCAGTGCGTGTGGTCGACTTCCAGTCATGGTTCTTACATAACTAAAAGACCTACAGTCGCAAATTTTTCTCAAAATATTTCAGAAATAGAGAGAACCTGTACAACTCAAAATATTAACGGTCGACGAGGAACTGCTAAGCGATCTCGAGGAGATTTGTAGATCTCGTGTAACGCTCGGTTTACGCTTGCTCAAAATTCCTTGAAGTTGCGTGAGGTCGACTGCCGTTCACGGTTCTCAAATAACTAAACGACTGCTGGTCGGTTATTTCTCCAAAAAATTTAAGAAATCGAGTGAACCAATACAATCCAGTCTGTAAGTTGTCCTAAACAATGTACTTGATCAACATTAAAAAGGAAAGTGTCTCCATCCCTCACAAGGAAGATGGCCAAGATAAATTGAACAACTTCACATTTACTTGAAACTACACTTTCCCCGACTTCTTTCAAAGTAAATTTTCCCTGACTCAAGTAAAATTCCCTGACTTATCCCAGGCCTTGAAGTAGTTCATTTTCTCCTGAATTTTCCTGCCCTGTGACAGCCATGCCTTACATTATCACACTGGAAAC